GTCCTCGATAGGAAATATCCATCTAATTCAAGACGATTTTTTCAAAACTTACTAAATACGTGTCAATCAAGCAGTGGCGTCGCCTTAACCTCAATCTACATGTGCACCAACTCTCAAAACATAAACAATTATCAAAATATTGCTTGCAATGGATACATATCGAGTTAACTAGAAGATTAAGTGTGTTTTTCAACCAGTTCGAATATGAATATGGCATTAAATCTTTTTTTGAAAGTTGGTGCACAGGTAAAAAATGAGGTTACGCGACACCACTGCAATCAAGTATTGCACTACTGCTTGATGGAAAGTTTCAGTACATTATCAATGGTGTATATTTGCATCGATAATGTATTGGAGCGGGGCTTATCATGTGTGACAATAGCTTCGGAAGGCTTGCGTTTTTTAAATGGGCTAAAGGGTGATACGGTCAAAATTTGGTCAATATCAACTTGACGTATTTCTTTCAATTTTGCATTTAAAAAACCTGAACACCCCTCATTTTGAAGGTGTGTGTGTAGAATGTTGCTCCTATTTTGATTTTGGAATTAACTCTTCAGTTGTCAAAATGCCGTCCAAGCAAGAAGAGCAGCGTATCAAAATTTTGCTCGCGCATCGCGAAAATCCGAGTTACTCGCACGCAAAGTTGGCAAAATCGCTAAAAGTTGCCAAATCAACCGTTACAAATGTAATTAAAGTGTTTGGGGAACGTTTGTCGACAGCCAGGAAGTCTGGATCGGGGGGCAATCGAAAATCGGAAGCCGCTGAGACGACAAAGAGAGTTGCCGGTAGTTTCAAGCGAAACCCTAACCTCTCTCTCCGAGATGCCGCAAATAAGCTGGGTGTATCGTCTACAACCGTGCATCGAGCCAAAAAACGAGCCGGACTATCGACTTACAAGAAGGTAGTGACTCCAAATCGCGATGATAAACAAAATACGACGGCCAAAGCGCGATCCCGCGACGATGCTGACGAAGTTTGACTGCGTGGTAATGGACGACGAAACCTACGTCAAAGCCGACTACAAGCAGCTTCCAGGACAGGAGTTTTATACGGCAAAAGGAAGGGGAAAGGTAGCAGATGTTTTCAAGCACATGAAACTGTCAAAGTTCGCAAAGAAATATCTGGTTTGGCAAGCCATCTGTACCTGTGGCTTGAAAAGCAGCATTTTCATAGCTTCCGGGACTGTCAACCAAGAAATTTACGTGAAAGAGTGTTTGAATAAACGTCTGCTGCCTTTCCTGAAGAAACACGGTTGTTCCGTACTGTTTTGGCCGGATTTGGCATCTTGCCATTACGGTAAAAAGGCCGCCAACAACGTGCAGGTGGTTCCCAAGAACAAGAACCCTCCCAACACGCCAGAGCTCCGCCCAATTGAGAAATACTGGGCTATTGTCAAGCGGAACCTAAAGAAAACCAAAAAAAACTGCTAAGGGCGAGCAGCAGTTCAAGGCAAACTGGCTTTCTGCGGCGAAGAAGGTGGACAAGGTGGCTGTACAAAATCTGATGGCAGGGGTCAAGCGTAAGGCCCGGCAATTCGGATTTGGAAAATCGGAAGCCTAACTGAATATTTTTCCTGAATTTTATACTAATTGAACTTGAAAAAGAAATTTAATTTGATTTTTTAAATAAACGATTTCACCGATTTACACGCGTTTTCCCTTGACCAAATTTTGACCGTATCACCCTTTATTGTAGCTGCGGTAGAGCTGTCACCTTCTAACTGCCGGGTTCAAGCTTCTTTGCATTCATAAGAAATGATTGCAGGCAGATTTTATCCATAATACCACTGCCAGACAGTGGGAGTTAGGCCAAAGGCGAATCTTCATTCTAATCTACGATTCCACATACTATTAATAACCTTTTACACATCAGATTGAATTGTGCACATGTTTAGGATCAACAAACATTTTCAGGCGCAAGGGAGCGACAGGATCGAGCTGATAACGTTTCTTAATTCCAAAATCTGAAGACTGTTTTGAATAATATGTTTAAGTAATGGGCAGCAACAACGTACATATAAACTACTTACAGCTTCTATTTATTAAATGCTTGATATAACGATTGCCAGCAACGCTGGATGGGCGTATCCTATGGCTTACCCTCCCAACTAACAAAAATCCACCCTTCCCGTGACACTTATGAGGGGTCATAGAGTTCTCTGCAGCTCTCTTAAGTAAGGGTCGGACTAACATTCCTTTCCTTTCCCCACCAGATGCAAGGACGTGGCCAGGACAGCTCTGGTGTGTTCCTTGGTGTGGTGGTGTTCACATTACAGCGTATATCACGTGATATACTCTGTTTTGCAATGAGCACTCATACATCTAGTTTTCACTGGAAATCCTATGTATGAGTGCTCATTGCAAGACAGCCTATATTACGTGATATAGGCTGTAATGTGAACATAAGAGGTAGTTAATCACAAATTACTATCTAACAGCAACGAATGAAGGTGGGTCTCCTTCTTCACAACAGTTTTGAGCTTGTACCACCTACACACTTTGAAAAAATCATGTAAATTTAGGTGCTCTGAGACTGACATATACGAGTGTCAATTTTGACATAAAATAGAGTCATAATAGACACGAAATTCAACTCAATCAAACGCACTTTTCGTCGATTAACGTACTTTTCAGTTTCGGAGCACTTAATTTTACATGAAATATTTGTTTACGTCTGATCCTTTATGTCAAAGATGGTTTCCGTCACGTGTAAAATTAGTTATTTCTAAGTGTGTACGACATTGTGCAACCTGGTTTATGCTATGCTACTTCAAAAAACTATCAAAGTTATGCAACTGCAAAAAAGGTTATGGTGCCTTATACACAGAAAAAAATTCTGAATTTTAACTATCGCGTAAAATCTCCCTTCGTTTAATTTTGTGCTATACTTGGCATAAAGAGCGAAATCGTTTACAAGCTTGCATACAATATTGCTAATTTATGCGATATTGCACTTAAATTTACACGAAATATCGCGTAAATTTATGCCAAATCTAGCGTTAATTTTATGTGCGCTATATCTCGCAGAAATTTACATGAATTTTTCGAACAGTGTAGGCCATATTTGGGCAGACATGCCAAATTTCAGTGCGATACTGTTTTTTGTTTTGTTTTGACAGCTGATTGTTGTTGACGTGTATGGCATCATGTGGAGTATGGATAAAAATGAAAGGGCTTTACTGTTATTTTTTGTAAAAAAACGATAAGGCAATACAAAGTTTGATCAATGAGTGAAATATCGAAAATTTCCAGAATTCTTATTGAAAAATTATTATTCTTTCATGGAAAATATGTTAACAATAAAAATAATAGGTCATAAAACGATTGAAAGATTCTATCAAGTTAGAAAGTTAGGTGTTATTCTCGACTCTAAATTGACCTTCTATAATCTATAGTCTATAAAAAAGCAACACGTTCGGGTTTTCAAAATTTAGTTTGCACTTCAAAGACCCTTACACAATCAATCACGATCACACACTGTATATTGAATATTGTAGTATAAATAGTTTGGACACCATTTCAAGATAATAGAAGTAAACAGTATTGAATCAGTACAAAAACGTTTTGTATTGTTTGCTCTACGAAAGTTAGATTGGACGTTGTTACCGCTAGATGAGATTTCGCAATGATAGCTTTCATAAACGATGTTCTTGCGCAAATAGTAAACACTCCTGAGGTTTTGGAAAATATAAATTTGTATGAAGAGATTGTTTTATTAGCAATTGCCATTTAAATAGAATGATGTTCTCTAAGAAAGAGATTTGTTTTATTAGCAATTGACATTTAAATAGAATGATGTCTTGTTAAATCGCATATTGTGAAACAATCAGTGGAACAATTGATAAAAGTACGCTTAAAACCTTCTTTTCGGGGTTAGCTAGGTTATAATCAATAAGATGCAGATGTTAAGTATGTATTGTAACTTATTTACGATGAATAAATCAAATAAAATTAAAGAAAAAAGATTTTCCAGCATTGCAAAAAAAAATCATAGCACACCTAACTTTACTTGCTAAACTAGACAATGTTTTCGTATCCACAAACTTTAATTGGAATTTAAGGGGTTCTGGATAAATTTTATTTGCTTTTGGATTAAATCCCTGTCTGCTAACCTTTTTTTTTCAAGTGTAGACAATAAAAAGCAGTTATGAGAAAAATTTAATCCCTATAAAAGTGCGTATCTTGCAACATGCAATTAATGGGTGACTTATAAAAAATTAAGAGTCTTTGTAGAAAAAAAAATCAGTTTAGGAATGATTTTTTATGAAACCTTTATTATAAAAACTCATACTTATTTTTACAATTCATTCGATGATCACATTTTGGAGCGTATTTCAACTAAAACAAAGATAAAATAAAGAAAATATGTTTAATTCTATTCACACGGTACACAGAAAAAAATCTGATTTTTAACTATCGCGTAACATCTCCCTTCGTTTAATGTTAAGCTATACTTGTCATAAACAGCGAAATCGTTTACAAGCTTGCATACAATATTGCTAATTTATGCGATATTGCGCTTTAAATTACACGAAATATCGCGTAAATTTATGCCAAATCTAGCGTTAATTTTATGTGCAGAAATTTACATGAATTTTTCGAACGGTGTAGTCTAGATTTTTTTTTTTTTTTTGTTATTTTTATGGAAATCTAGTATGCAAATCATCGATTTAAATGATTTACTTAAATTTGCCAAGTGATACTTTTTTTTAATGATAATACTAGTATCCTGCAATAAAAAATAGTAATAACCGTGAGTACCGATAAATACCGATTTTTTAAACCTTTGATACCAATATGCAAATCAATCATGTCACATTGCTGGAATGCGCCCCATGTGTACATAAAAAAAATATGTCAAATCTGCAATCCAATCAATATTACCCAATCAATGTACAAAACATATACAGACAATACGATAAGAGTCCATCCAACTTTCACCGCACAAACAATCTAAAACTATGATCAACACCTTCCGATGATTCAATTCCTATTTATTACCTTTTCGATCCCCCGACGTTCAGTAATCTATAAATCTCGCTGGATTAAGCTTCCGTTTCCGCAATCTCGCACCGCACCAGCACAAGTGTCAGGAAGGATTAAAACTTGTGCGGTCAGTTTCTCTTGGCCATGCAATTATAAAACAATCACACAAATCAATTGGAATTTTGCACCGGACCACACTTGCACTGGCATAACAGACACTTCCAGACTTCCAATCAGAGCGAATTCAAAATTCCAACCTCACTCAAGTGTACCGACCACAAACACCGAACCTGCTGGGCTCGAAAATTTTCTTTGTGCTGATTCTGCTTTCACTATCATTAATCACAGAACTTTTGTCGCATTCCTTGCCTCTCTTCCTCGCGCAGATACCCCTTATCTATGCCTGCTTGCCTGCTTGTTTGATTTCTTGCTTCTCTGGCTCCGCTCTTCTTTCGAATTTTCTTCCCTCCTCAATCTTCTCTGTTTTGTTGTATTCGGCCCTCTCGATCTCTTCCCCTCTAGACTGACTTCCCGTTCACGCTGCGGACACTCGCTCCCTGCAGCTTTCTGATGAAGTAAATATTGATTTTTTTTTTCTTGTTTTTCACTTCTTCGGGTATTTACATGCTTCCTCGACGAGGCAACTTACACATGGGATTCTAATTCGATTTTCACTCCAAACAACACACCCGTCTCGTTGCAACATAGATATCACTGAATTTTATGCTAATTCGGTAGGCTCACTGTGGCCGGAACAATGTTACGGAACACGGGTCACCAGCTAGATTCCTCTCATAATTTCAATTCATCACCAGGGAACACTCACACTATTGCAGATGATTAAGAATATTATGCACCAAAAGGGGTAAGTATTCCTGGATGAAAATTCGCCTCTAGTCGCCGGAAAAAAACGGTTCCTGCACAGACTACTGCCAGGAAACTAATTCACGCAATTTCCGATAAAAAATGGGCTCTGCCTTGATGGGTTCTCCTCATTTTCACAGCAGCACTCTTATTGACCTTTCTTCTTTCGAAACTGCTCTTCCGGAAGAATCCACGTATAGATCCCGTTCGTGGTTTGGTTCCCACAAGAATGCACTTTTCTCACGAGCCCACCGTAGACCACTGGCCGGTCAACCAAGAAACTTTAACACACGCACACGGAACACACCGAAAAACCTAAAAAATTCACAGAACACACGCAAAAACGACACGACAACGACGGAGGACGCGGCGGAAGCGGTTCCCGTAGAAATCGGATTGTAATCCGTACTCCGAAACTGAGTTGGATCGTCCTTAAAACAGGCTTCGAATCATTGTCCACCTTTCACAACGCACCAAAATTTGGCCAAGGCAATGCAGCGACCATTCAGAAAGGCTAGAGTTTTTTCATTCTTTCAGTCCTCCACACTGGTAGACATTTTGAATATCACACAAAATCCGCAGAAGACGACGACGATGATGGCGAGGAGCGCAATAACATTGTACTTCGGATGATGCTTCTCTCTCACTATATGGCGATAGGATTCTGAATATAACGTCTAGTGCCTGCTGATGTTGTCGACTGGCTGGCTGGATTTCCCCTCTCTCGTTTTATGCTTCGTTTCTACAAAATCAATAATTTTATGCTCATTCTCTTCCAGTTGCAATAAAACATAGTGTTCAGCAGCAGCATACATGCGTTCACTCTGTTTCTCTCTCTCTCTCCGTCCCGGCTCATATTATCTCATATTTCTATGCTCAACTTCATTCATATCTTTTGTCCATTCTGACAGTTCGTTCTCTCCGATCTCACCCCCAATGCTGTATTGTTGTCAGTTAGTCGCCCCTTTTTTGTTATGCTTTTGTAGCTGGCCGCAAGAGTTTGCGTGTTTTGATGCAGCATTTCGTTCTCCCTGCTCACCTCAGTGGCTTCTCTCGCAATGTTTTATACATTCGATCAAATGTATGCTGGTAGTTGTGAAAGCAACATAACATTTCAATCGTCTGACAGTGACACTAAAACGATAGGCATTCTGACAGATCAAACGGTCATCAAACACTTCACGATGTGAACCACCATTTCAGTCCGTTTCGTACATTATCCAGGATATTTAAAAATCAAAGGGGTGAAAATCAAATTCCAAATCTATATGCTCAAGCTTGACCATCATCCCCATGGTGGAAACATATTATGTACAGAAGATAGTGAAGTACATGGCAAGGATTCGATGGAGGTGCGTGGTCATCATCAGGCATCAAATTATTCCTATCCATTATCATTTTCCTATCTAAAATTGGTTATTACACCTAATAATTTTAAAGCAGATATTATATGTGTTAGCCTGTTCGGTTCAGAAGAAACAAACGAGCTTTCGTTAAATTTTCTTTTCCCACAATCTCTCAAACTTTCCGAAAAACTCGGTTGACAAAAAAAATAAATTCAAGCAGGAATAACCAAACATCGGTTTACTCAAGTGTTACCGAACGCTGTCAAACAAACCGATTCACCAATTACGGAATTCGGATATTTTTGGCAGCGCATGAATTTCATTCCAAATAGTTTTTAGGGTATTAGGTCAATCGAATTTCTAAAAAAAAACTAGTTTTGTTAAGATGCATGAGAGCATTAAATTTCAGCCGACTTTCTGACTTAATCGAGAGAAACTAAAAGCTTATCGCACTCGTGTTCATGCCTCTTACACCAGACTGCCTCAGTAACAAAAAAATAATATCCTGTTACACATGCAATAAAAAAAAATGGTTGGCGATTTCTCTGGTTTTTTAAAAACATCTAAAAAAACCGAGTTTCTCCGGTTGAAATTTGACGTTTAAGAATGTTGAGCTGCGAGCTTTCTCGGCTTTTGCGAACTGAACTCGTAAATATCGCTATTTTACCGTACTTTTCGGTTCAGCCATCATTTCTATTTGCCAAATTAATTCTATTTTAACCGAAATTCAAATATGACTCGAAAAGATATGCCTGACAAAATATTTTTAAAGGAATTATTCGGTTGGTAACCGAAGTGATTCAGTAAAAAAATAAACCAAGTTCGGTATTATTTCCAAACTGTGTAAGGGTATTTTCGGAACGGGGACGATGCGTAGAGGTCAAACATAGATGACCGACGCGTAGAGACCGAAAATCGATGAAAAAGGTGTCAAATACTTTACAATATTGGCTCATAGCCACGACGAACACAATTACAGAAAGGATTGAACCTTGTGGTACTCCGTTTTCTGCTTTTCTGATACTTGAGAGTGATCCGTTTGCAGCTACTTGAAAGTATCTATCAGTAAGGAAACTGGACAGAATATTTATCATTCGTCCAGAAATTCTCCAACCCGCTAATGTACTTCCGTCTATTGTCTCTTTAAACTGTTCCCCTGGTAGAGGAGAATTAAGTTCATTCGAGACGGATGCTAATGTGCGTAGTATCGGCTCTGTATGTTGAATTGTAGGCCTTCGATATATCGAGGGATACGATTTTCATGTGTTCATTTTCTTCAAGGCTGATAAGAGACTCCAGCTTGGCGAGGTGTGAGTCGACACCCTTCCCAGCACGAAAGGCATGAAGGGAGATTTGTGCGGAGTATGGTAGACGTTGCAATAGAACATTGCTTATGTTATCGGCACCCGTGCAGGATCCTCCACGCCGATTAAGTGCCCACATCAATTCTTCAATGGTGAAATCTGCGTTGTAACGTATTTGGACGTTGGTTGTTAAAAGCTGTATCTTTGTTCATTTTATGTTTTTTGCGGAATTTTTCAGAGTAATGTGCATCTGACGATATCATTTAATATTCCTCGGCCAGTGCATTCGCAACCTTTTGTGCACCGTTAGTGTGACCGGTTGAGAGGTTAAGAGTTATTGTATTGCAATGCCTTTTTCGCTTAAGACTGTTTATGCTATTACATACTTGGCTAACTGGAGTGGTCGGATTAACACTTTCAACAAAGTATTTCCAACTTGTTTGTTTGGCGTCACGTATGGTTTTCCGACATAACGACCGAGTTTCCTGAAACAATTTTAGAGTTGCGATTTTCTGTGGGTCGTTATCGCTTAGGCGCCGAAGAGCTCACAATTGCTTACGTGTGGCTTCAATTGCTGCTTCTACTTCTTGGTTCCACCAAACGACAGCGTTTGGTCCTGTATTCCCTGTACTTTTAAGGATGCTAAATTCAGCCGCATCAATAACCGTGTTCGTGAATTCTACCGTCTGGATGGACCCCTACTAGTGAGTTGTTTCGTAAATTCCCAGTTGGCCTTTTCGAGCATTCATTTTGTTCGACGTGTCGGTTCGTTTATGTTGTTGATAGTATCTATCAAGGAGTAATCTAGCAATGTTTTCCAGTTTAATTTAGTTGCATGAGATACTCAGACGGATGTCATTTATACTGACTTATCTGCTGCCTTCGATAAATTGAATCACCGCATATCAATCGCTAAACTGGACAGGCTTGGTATCCACAGCTGCCTTTTGCAATGGTTTCATTCGTACATCACCGATCGCTATCTTACTGTTGTCATTGGTGATCACCAGTCCCGTACGTGCGCTGCCACATCTGGCATACCTCAGGGTAGTCACCTGGGACCGCTGATTTTCCTGATTTATTTCAACGACGTGAATCTGGTAATTGAGGGACCACGATTATCTTACGCAGATGACCTTAAACTCTACCTCTGAATTCACTCAATTGAAGACTGTTGCTTCCTTCAACGTCAGCTGAATGCTTTTGCTGATTGGTGTATTCTGAATCGTATGGAGGTTAACCCGTTCAAATGCTCGGTTATTTCTTTTTCGCGCAAGAAAGAGACTATTATGTTCAAGTATGTTTTGTTAGGCACTGAAATTGAGCACGTTAGCCAAATTAAGGACCTAGGCGTGATTCTGGATACAAAACTCTCTTTCAAGCAGCACATCTCGCACGCCGTCGACAAAGCTTCCAGAATTCTAGGGTATATCTTCAGGATTGCCAAAGACTTCACGGATATCTACTGCCTTAAATCGTTGTACTGCTCCTTGTCTCGCTCCATATTAGAATACTGCTCGGTTGTCTGGACTCCTCACTACAACAACGGTGTCGAAAGAGTTGAGTCTGTTCAGCGACGGTTCCTGAGATATGCGCTACGTAAACTGCCGTGGACGGATCCCTTCCGATTGCCTAGCTACGAAAGTCGTTTGCAACTGATCCATCAGGAGCGCCTGTCGGTCCGAAGAGATACAGCAAGGGCATTGCTAATTGCGGATATTTTGCAAGGACGCACCGATTGCCCTGTCCTCCTTGAGCAAATTGACATCAATGTTCAACCCCGAGCCCTACGGAATAATTCAATGCTGCGCCTGCCCATACAGCGAAATAATTATAGCATGTTCGGTGTACGTTTGATTGTTATCTTCTGTAGGATTGGAGGTTCTTAACAACCGAACAAGAATAATCACTGCTCTGTTATTTTACAATAGGGGTAGGCGGTGCATAGTGAACAGGTGGGGCATAATGAGCACCCTGTATTTTAGCTATAAATTTCTATTTATTCAAAATAGGAAATAAAATAAATTAATTCAATGCCGTCACTGCAATTAATTTCTAGAGAATTATTGTATAAAACGCATTTAAACATTGAAAAATGTCGTAAGATGTGTAAGTTGGGCATATCTTGTCTACGCAATATAAAAATCAGATGATCCTAAATAAGGTTTTAAGAACTCAGAATACCGCGTCGTAGGTATTTATTTAGCTTAAACATGTTTTCAAAGCATACGCAGACTGTTTGCATCATATTACACATAATATGTATTCAATTTGATATCAAAACTACCAGTTGATTTTTTTTAAATAGGGTGGGGCATAGTGAGCAACCGTCGGATGGGTAGAGTGAGCAGAGAAAAGAAAGTAACCTCACTAATTTAGCAGTGGTTTGTTTGTGTTTTGATGCGTATCGCAAGTGTCGGTAATATGGTCCGCAATTACAAGAAGAGTTCAGTTCTGTAAAAGTGGTCAAAGGACAACATGGAAAGGACAGTGGAAGCAGTAAACCGTGGGGAATCCGTGAATCAAACGTCTCGTGAGTATTGTGTTTCACGTGCAACTCTAGGACGTTACGTTATTTCGGTGACTCCAGAAGAAAAGCATATTGGATCATTTGCTACTGTTTTTTCGAACGCTGACGAAAACGAACTGGTGTCGCATATCCTAAAGCTGGAAGTTTCCTGTTACGGAATAACTGTTCGAGACATCCGCAGCTTGACTTTTCAGGTGGCGGTTCGGAATAAAATACAGCACCCGTTAAACGTCGAGAGTCAACTAGCTGGTAAAGACTGGGTCAGGGGTTTCCGGAATGTATTCTACCCCTCAATCCACTAATACCTCGTAAACTGTTGGACAAAGGTTTAACTTTTCAAGAGTATACATGAAACAATCAATTTGTACAAAACGTGGCTTGCTCATTATGCCCCACCTGGTATCTTAGATTCACAATTTCACACGTTCCAAAAACATGTGGTTTTCATCTCGTTCATTTTTTTTTTTCACATTTCAACAGTCAGTTTATGATAATAAGATACCTTTCCAAGATTTAACGCTGCAAATGTACAGTAATATTACTTACTTTATTAGATGTATGGTGAAATGCTTAACATGCCCACTATGCCCCGCCTACCCCTAATTTATATGTAAAGAGAAAGGATCGTGTACGGGTTGATTTTTATTTGGCTGTGAAATTATGAACACAAATTGAGAGCTTGGTGACATTGATTAAATATTCCTATTATTACTTAGTAATGAATAGTGAGCCTAGTTGTGATCAGTAGTTATTCATTATTATATTATAATATGTATTTATAACGGGTACACGACGTTAGGCATACGGTTGTTGGGCATACGGACGTTAGGCATAATGGACGTTAGGCATAATGGACGTTAGGCATAATCTACCCGATGAATTCCAGAAGGATGATCTTGGGGACCGTCTATTGATTGGTGACATCGGTGGCAATAATGAAAGAGCCTTAATTTTTGGGACTCATGAAAACTTGCGATGTTTGTATGACTTGTATCATATTTTATTCAACGCTTAACCTAATTTAAGCATTGTTTACCATGCTCGAAACTGTTTTCTAGAGTTGCACAGCAGCAATGGATTTTATGCCTAACGTCCAATATACCTAATGACTTTATGATTAACGTCCATTATGCCTAACGTCCGTATGCCTAACGTCCGTATGCCTAACGTCCGTATGCCTAACGTCCGTATGTCTAACGTCCGTATGCCTAACGTATTTATGCCTAATGGGGTACACTCTTTTATAACCCTAGGTCACCCTTCGTAAGTAGTCGGTCATACATATGTTCTGTAAAAATTGTATTAGTATCATGTTGTGCGTGCCATGAGTATGCTATTCGTGATATTTTCGAAAGCTTACTCTGCTGCTCATTTTATACTAACCAATATTTTGGACTGCGGTGTAACAAAGCACATCACGCTGTATCTTCTTAGGTTAAAATATCGGAGTTTTGTGGACTGGAAATTTTCTGAAAACCCACTGTCAGGGAAAATCAGGGATTTTTTTTTCGACTTTGAGTCGACACCCTGTTAGTAGACTCGTTTCCTCTCCTGGAAGCAAAAGGAGTACTGCACATTCCTCACTTTCGATCCGCGTCTTTGTTCGCTTGCTTGTATCTAGCGTAGTTTTCAATAGTTGTCCTGAGTCGAAGTTAATTTGGTAGCTGTTTTTGTCAATATTATTGCAGGGTGGTGAGCGTCGTTATTCAGTATTCATGGCCATGTTCGGGGCGGTGTCGTTCAAATCGTTGGTCGAATATATTTTCTTAAGCAGTTCCTGGTCCATTATTCATCTCGATGTCGGTGGCTGTGCTGCTTGTGTCAAGTTGTGCCGAAGTACTTTTACCCCGATTGCTGGTTGTTTCGGTAGGCGATATCTCAATATGCCCTTTTCCACTTCTGCTACGGGTATTAACAACATGTTGAGGTTTATTGGTTTAACGATTATCAGATTTCAAAGAAATTCTAAAAATATGTTGAAGTGAATTCTGAACAAAGTTCAGACGGAATTCTTGGACGAAAACTAAGAGAATCGAATTTTAAGGGTGGAATTTCAAAGAAATTTTGAAAAGGTTTTCATCAGAATTCCGAGGACAATTTGAGAAGAATATAGATAATTCTGAGTAAAATTTCAAGACTTTTCTAAGGTGAATTGTATGATAGTTGTATGGACTTCTTCTTCTTCTTCGCATTTCAAGCTTATTGCATATCGCATATTAGTCTTTAATATTAGCTTATTGCGTGCTCTCAACTTAGTGTTCTAGATGCACTTCCACAGTTATTAATTGAGAGCTTTCGATGCCTGTACCATTTCTGCATTAGTATAATTGTGTGGCAAGTCCAATCATACTTCTATGCCCAGGGAAGTCGAGAAATTTTCCAACCCGAAAAATTCCTAGACCGGACCGGGAATCGAACCCAGCCACCTCCAGCATGGTCTTGCTTTGTAGCTGCGCCTTTACCGACTGAGCTAAGGGAGGATAGTTGTATGGAGCGAATTATAAATAGAATTATGAAAGAAATCTTCACATCGAATTATTGGAAGCATAGTTAAAAAATTTAAGTTAATCTTATGGTTAATTCCACATTTTTTTATAGAAGTAGGTAGAACTTCAGAAGTGTTAAACAGAATATTTTAAATAAAGCCCAGAGAGATTCTTTCATTTATTTTCGAATACTTTTGAAAAGAACTCTGTGAAGGGAAATTATTTTTAGAAAATTTTTGAGAACAATGTATAAAAACCCTGTATGGAGTTCTATGCCAATTTTTAGGGCAGTTAAAACATAATCATATTTTGCTACTTAGTGATCCTTTTGGATCCTTTCGCATTCGATTTTATGCTTAATTTAAATGTATTTCGTTCAACTGGGAAAAACTCCAAAATTATGGAAAAACGGATAGTTTCTTTTAGATTCTTTAGAGAACTAAATATATCCAATTAGATCGTTGACTTCGAGATCGGTTAGTGACAGTCGTCCATTATTTGATTTAAAATCTTTTTTAGTCTTCATCATTCTCGAGTATCAGGAATTCTTTTCAATCAAATAAACAAAAAACACAATCTGACGCCAGCGCAAAGAGCAACAACTATTAATATCATTCATTTTATTTCGTAAAATCTAAATTGGCACACTATTTCTCTAAAATTCACTTGGAAGAAATATACCTATTCTTAGCTAAATTAAGTGAATTAAACATACAACTAGAGCATGTTCTAGTTGTAAAACACGTGTAAACGAATCCTCCACCGTTTTAAATTATCAACATATCTAACTGGTATACTGTTACAGCTGGCACTGGAAGGGATTTAATCATCGTCTCCTACAAACTACAGTTTAATACTGTCTTTAGCCTTAAGCTTATCCTTCTCCTTTTCTTTTTCCTTGTTATTAGGAGACGAGCTTCCTCTAATCAGCTGCAAGTTCAGCGGAGGAAGAGCCGTCCGAATGTTCTTCAAACGCTTGCTCTTCTCTATATGTCTGATAGAATTGCTAGAAACCGGAGTGCTAGAGCCAGCCATACTGATGTCGGAGAGATTTAAATTTCTGGTGCTCTCGGTTTCGTTTGCACTGTGCATGATCAGATCCGATTTACCATAGTACCTTGGCATCGAAAGGTCAACGTTAGCAGAAAGCATTCCTGCCGTTTGAATGGAATACAAGCTGACCGACTCTCGATACTTCTCCACCGTCGGGGTTTCCAAATAGCTCTTCGGTAAATTGGAATACGAAATGGCTGGTACTTCTGGGGTCATGCTGATGGCGTTGTAGTTGCTTGAGGATGCAATGGTGAAAATATCATTCTCACTGGCTGGACGGGTTGAAAAGTAGGGCTGCTCTGCCTGAAGGTGGGAAATGTTCTTGTTGATTAAACTGGTTGATCCACTGAAGGATGCTGAAGCCTCGATCAGGGATCTTGGAGGTCGCAGAACCACTTCGTCGTCTTGGGCTTCTTCTACAATTGACGGAATGACCTTTGATCCAAATTTACTGCTTTGGAGATCTTGTCGAGACCCTGTGAATAGACAAAGAAGAAATGTTACAGGAAGAAACGATGCCAGCATACACTGAATGCGCGAGTGCTGAAGATGGTCTGTTGAAATGATTGATTACGATGAAAAATTCTACTCTGAAGAAGTGCTGAGATTTGTCATTGTCATTGACAGGCTTTCGCGCGATATTGACAAAATTGTTCGTCACATAGTCACTGGCAGACTTGATCCTCAAAAAATTCTTCGTCAAAATCTCATTCATTTTTTCGTCAATGACAAAAATTCACCTGGTAACAAAAAATGTAATTTAGTACATTCTGTGTCACATTATTGTTATCCAAGTAGCTCAGGACGTAGATACTTGTTCATTAAAATGAATCCATGTAATTGTTTTGCTCAAGTAATTTAATTTCGTTTCAATTTTAGCTAATACAAAAATCTGCAAATGTTCGTCACTGACAGCATTGTCACTGACAATTGACATGGTTTGCCTTGACTATGACTGTTAGCTCAAATGAGTGACCAAAGCAGAATTGTCAATATCACCGTGTACTGTCGAGATTTTGCAGCACTGCTCTGAAGATCTTTTATCCAGCTATTGTTGATTGGCTTGAATGACCGTATATTGAAGAAACACCAATTTCCATGATTTTGGTGTTACGGCAAAATAATCAATGTTAAATGAAAACATTTAAATTCTATAATACCTAAGTAACGTTATAAAAAAATGAAAGCGTAATATCAATATCTGCTCTTTGACTGTTGTTTATCCTTAAGTGGACCCTACACGATTGCTTTTATTGACAATAATCGTATTATCCATACCAGGCTGGCGGCCATGTTTTTGATGCTATCATCTGCTCTTGTCGTTCTACTTATAACACGATTTTCCGTCATTTTCCACCATGTATACGTCAGGCGGTCCGTATTTAAATAAGGCCAGTGATGTTGCCTACTGTCAAACGTATAGGATTGATACAGGATTGCCAGTCCCCTGGTCCATACATTTAATATAATTTATCAAAATGGGATCATACCATCTGTTTTCTGTTTACAGCGCCCATTGATTTAACATACGGCGGCTCTTTATTCAGGATTCGCTCCTTAAGCCGCTACCATAAAATACTATTTAAAGTACACACCTGCGATATACCTTATGGGCTGGATTGCAGCGCGCTTCGACCGTCATAAAATGAGAATTTAACATAAGCGCGACAATAGTTCATTCGAGAAATATAAGCGTTTTAAAACTTCTCTCTGCAAGCCTATCTTCAAGATGGTCAGGTTTTAGACGCCTTTACATTTAAGATGCCTTTTCGACTGATAACTATAGGAACCCAACGCTTCTAACGTACCGCAACTATAGGAGCGTTTACCCTACATTTTTTAAAGGCCGGCATCTTCAAAAAATGTTGAAAATTTTGATATGGAGCATAAAATCTTTGCTTGAGACTTTAAAATTTTAATGAATCCTATACATAGAAAATGTATCATTGGCACTTTGGGACATTTAATCGAGGAATCAGAATATTTTTTGGAATTGAGGAATTGCAAACATTGTAGTTTGTTTCAGAACCTCCCGAACTTTTTGTATCTCAGAACCATGAAAATGTGTCCTTCTTATTTTTATTAAAATATTCAAAGTGTGTAATATCACAAGTGTGAGTCCCAGTATGTAGAAAAAAAAACATGTCACAACTTAACTCTTCACTGGTTTTCACTGGTGTTTTCTCAATAATCAATCATCAATTCAACAATCATTTGAATCGTTTTACAATTCCCTCAGAGTGCTTGTGAAAATTTGTCTAGAAAAATCTTCGGATTCTCTCTGACACTCTATTAGAATTTTCTTCATAAATATTTAGCAATTCTCTTTAGGAAACTCTTGGAATTCACTCTACTATAATAGATAATATCCACAATCTGAATTATTCTCGTAAGGTTTCTCCATTCTCTTCAATATTTTCTTGGAATATTCACCAGAAATCTCTAAGTAGATCCTTCAAAATAACAATCGAATTCGGCCCAGAAATATCAGAACTGTACTGCAAATTCCCTTGGAACTCTCTTTAGAAATCCTTATGTATTCTTCAAAAAATCGCTTCTAGTTCTCTCCAAGAATTCTTTGGAATACCTTGTGAAAATTTGTCTAGAAAAATCATGGGATTCTCTCTGACACTCTATTAGAATTTTCTTCATAAATATTTAGCAATTCTCTTTAGGAAACTCTTGGAATTCACTCTACTATAATAGATAATCTCCGCAATCTGAATTATTCTCGTAAGGTTTCTCCATTCTCTTTAATATTTTCTTGGAATATTCACCAGAAATCTCTAAGTAGATCCTTCAAAATAACAATCGAATTCGGCCCAGAAATATCAGAACTGTACTGCAAATTCCCTTGGAACTCTCTTTAGAAATCCTTAAGTATTCTTCAAAAAATCGCTTCTAGTTCTCTCCAAGAATTCTTTGGAATACCTCCAGAGATTTATTAAAATTCTTTTGAAAAATCCGAAATTCTGTATAGTAATCTCTAGGCGTTCTCCAAAAATTTCCATCGAATTCTCCTCAAAATGGCCTTGATATGCTCCCAGACGTACTTTGATATTCTCCTTAAAATCCTTTTTGGAGTCTCCCTCGTAATTCAATTGAACCCTCCTAAGGAATTGGAAAAACTGATGAAATCCTTTGAAAATATCTTAACATTCAGATTTCATTTGAATTGTTATCAGAAGTCACATGAAATTAATAGTGGTGGTGGCAGCAGCAGTCAACACTCTCTAGCTCGTTCTCTCCATAGTTCGATAATCTCCCTAGCTCGATAGAAATCCAGGATACTTTGACCACTTTTCCCATACAAATTGCTAAAATTTACCTCCGTAACTCGATGGTTCCATCAATGACTGTGCAACATTAGAGTCAATTTGCGTACTTGTTGCTATGGATAATTTTTCACTCAAGTCTCAAAGTGCAGGAAAAAAGTTTTTTCTTTCAAATCCCCGGTTCTTCTGGCATCCTTCAGAAGCTTCTTCTAACTGCCTCCGGAATTATCTTCCGATTTCATTTGAAAGATTCTTCAGACCTGCTCGGAAGATTTTTCTGACTTCCCTTGAAAGTGCCTTCCGACTGCTCCCGGATGTTTGTTTTTTCCTAATTTTCTCTGGAAATTTCTTACACCTATCCATGAAAGCTAGTTCCTGTTTTATTATGATTTTTCTCACAACTTTCTGCGGAAGATTCTGCCAACTTTTCCCGGAGGTTTCTTCCAACTTCCGCCATAGGTGCTTATGGTTTCCTCCGGAAGCTTCTTCCAACATAATTTGAGAGTTTTTGCCATCTCCAGAAGCTTCATCTGACTGCTTCCAGAAGATTTTTGCAATTTATTCTGGAAGCTCTTTCAGACTTTCCTAGGATTCTTACCGAGTTGCCTCGAGAGTATCTTTGTACCAGGGTTGCTTTTTTTTATTTAACTCTGAAAATTTCTTCCAGCTTACCACATTTAATTTTTACTGTCGAGATTTTAGCAGATGATAAGTTCTGCATTTTTTTTATTTCTGGTACTCAGTAAACAAATTGCCGAGACTCAGCTAACAATTAAGGAATTTGCTGTGATCTCAGCTAACAAATAGATATTTTACAGAGATACCAGCGAAAGTAAATGCCGATCTAATCGGCTGCTGGAGAGTTTACCGAGCTAAATTTAATGTACAAAGCACTTTTACTTCTCCTGGATGTTTATTAGACTGATGCAAAATTTGACTTTTTCGCTCCACAGTGCTTAAATGATTTCAAATCGGATCCTGATTAGCCTCCCAAAGTTACAACTCATTTCGTTAGAAACAGACTTCACACAAGCCATTTGAAGTTTACATGTAAATTACTATGAAAAATCACCAATGTTGCCTGCTGAGCAGTTGATTGAGCATGATCAAAAGACATCAAAGAACCATTGATAACTTTCGATCCTTTCATTTAATCAGAAAGTGGTCTTTAGCAAATTTGTAGCTTGTAGAAAATTTCCTACAAGTACAGTTGAAGCAGACCGTTATAGTGAGTTATTAGATAGACATGAACAAAAATCTTGGTTTTACCATAGTAATTCCCATACAAACTTCAAATGGTTTGTGCCATCTCAGTTTCTCACCAAATGGGTTCAAATTTTGAGAGGTTAGTCAGGATCCGCTTTTGAATCGTTTAAGTATTGTGGAGCGAAAATTTCAAATTTTGCATCACTCTAATGTTTATCTCCCGAAAGATTCTGTCGCCGCGCCGGTGGTGTAGTGGTAAGCGTGATTGCCGTAATTCGAACAACTGAGAACACAGTATGAGAACACACAGCATCATGTTGTTCTGGCTGTAAAACTGGTTCATCTGGGTTATATGTAGATGGTCTCGGAAGTCGCCGGAAATCATTTTCAAAATCGAAAGTCTGAAAGCCTGGCCGAATGGTTTTCGGTACGTCGGTATTGCCCCTTCAGAGGCTGCTTGCGTTTGTCTCCGCCTTGTATGTACTTCGGGCAACATGCAAGAACATGAACAAGTATCCTTACAATAAACACAATAGTTTGTTAAAGCAGAAGTCTGCAATTTTACCTAACATCTTTCATTTCGAGAAGAGCTCCTTCAATAGCGGCGTAATCCGGCAGATGACGAACCTTTCCAATCGCATAATCTGGCAGAACTCACACGAAACGAGTCCGAAAGCGTGAAGATTTTCTTCGTCCCTACAATAGGTACTGGTTGAATTTAAATGCAATCCACAATTGGAATGTTTAAAAGGAAAGGGTTTTTTAAAGACACCAAGCCCATCTCTCAGCAATCCTGTTTGCATGTACACGGTCACCAATAGTTAGATGCTTTGAAATTTGATTAACGCTCAAAGGTTTCAGTTTGGGCCGAAAAAAAAACAACCCACGGACCTTTCGAGTCTTTGAAGTAGGGGGTGAAGTCAGAGTAGGGATGGATGTGGGAGAATGGGCAAGGGAGACCTTTCGAATCACTCCACACTTGATGTTCAAACCAT